CTTTTTTCTTTTAAATATATCCATAAAGACCAACGTATTTTTTTACTGGTTTTAACGAACCCGTTTATAACAAACTTCCGGATATAACGATCACTTTTTAGGATAGTTGTATATTCACTTTCCGTTTATAACGAACTTCCACGCTCAGTAACACGAATCGTGCGGAGTTGTTTATATTAGTGAGAGCGAGAAACAGGCAGTGACTTGTTGTTTTTTGCCGCGTTATGTAAGTAAATCGTGTTAGAATGGAAAAACAAAAACGCAAAGCTTTTTCACTAAATGGAAAGTACGAGATTATTAACAAAATAAAAAGTGGAGTAAAGCAGAGTGACATTTGCAAGGAATTAGCACTTGGAAAGTCTACTGTTGCAACAATATGGAAAGCAGACAAAACATTTTATCAGCGTATGACAAAACAAATGTTAGATGTAAGAAGTTAAAATTATCTGCACATGAAGAGGTTGACAAGGGACTTATTAAGTGGTTTACTCAAAAAAGACAAGAAAGCGTTCACACAAGTGGCAGTGTTTTGCAAGAAACGGCTAGTGAAATGGGGAGTAAAATCAAAAACAAAGAGTTTGTTGGTTCTGGAAGTTGGGTAGAGCGTTTCAAGAAGAGGTATCATATCAGTAGCGGAAAAATTGTTGGAGAGTCTGCCGGTGTGAACATGAATGTGGTCAATGATTGGTTGCATAATGTATGGTCCACCATTCGAGACAGTTATGAGAACAAAGATATTTTTAATGCTGACGAAAAACATAAACTGTAGGAGTTAAAGAGAAAATACCAATATTTTTTTTAACTTTAACACCCTCGTAATCTCCGGGAATCTCGTGAACTATGGGCCTGAGAGAAATAACTTAAATGGAAACTCGACTTGTTTAGAGGTCCTCTACACGCCCCTGCTCTGTGTGCATAAGGTTGCGAATCACCCTGTACGTTTATTTATTTATACATTTACTCTGAATAAGAAACAGCGTATAGGTGTTCAAGGTGATTCAAACTTGTCGTCACTCCTTTAAAGGGGTAATATAATAATATAATTGGGGGCTCACTTGGAAGGTACGAGAAAAATATTTTCAAACATTTTTTTCGGTAATCTCTAGAAGATATTAACAATTGAAAATCTAATTTCAACTTTGTTATTATGCATTATTTTGAAAGTGTCCCATGCTGAATTGGTAGCATATTGGAATACTTAAGCATTCAAATAGAAAAATTACGTTCTTTGCTCCAAATTACAAAGAATTTTTATTTTAAAAAAGTTCTCTTCTACAATTTTTTGATGAAAAGTCACAGCGGCAATGATGTTTTTGTTATTAACAGATAGTTATAGGTGGATAGCCATTGTCAACAATAACAATAATTTGTCAACCTGTGACTCTCTTTGAATTTCCTTTCACGAATTTGCGGATATGCAATTAGTTCAGGGGAAATGCTACAGTAACATAGCAAAAGCTGAAAGAACTCACTCCAACAAGGGCGAGGAGAGTGGTTCCAGGAAGATAGTGGACGACAATAGATGTTCGGGTTCCAGACACAGAGGAACAAGTATTGGAGATAATTGCAGAAGAGCTTTTCAGGGGCACTCAGAGCATGGCACAACCACTGACACTTTTCCAGGCACCAAATAAATACCGGCTACATTCCTACCACGTATGTAAGATCACATTATGGATCACGTAATGGATTACTACCACGTAATGGATCACGTAATGGATTAACCGAACACGAGAAGCTGTTCGAAAAGAGTGCGTAATAAGGTGATTACATAGGCACTCGTTTGGAGCTACAGACTCAAATGTATGTTTTTGTAATTTATAAACAAATTAATAATTCGAGGTTATGAGTTTCGCAACAGCTTCGGTAATTCAACGATTCCTTATGAATTTACGGTTTATCCTTGTCTATCTTATTGTCACTTTCTGAATAATTCCATGGTTACCATAAGCAACATGTGTTTACGTAATGTTAATTAGACAGATTACCTTGAAAAACATTGTTGCCGTCTTTGTCATATAGTTTTTGCAAATTTCTCAGTTTTTAATAACAATTAACTTTTTTGACTATTTTTTCTGTACTCCTAAAACACCGCCAGACAACACCTCCAGAGGAATGACGCCAATTTTGAATCACCCTGTATTTTCTACCTCAAACAAAACAAACACTTAGGTACATTAATCTCAAAACTAATGAGAACACAATAAATTATATCAAATGTAATATAAAGCAAACCACAGAAAACCTTGCATGACATCAAAATAGAAAATAGTTGTATAATGTTCAAGCAGCCAATGATATTAGAGCACTAGAAAATTGTCATTTCCGTCCATGAGCAAAATGACCCGGAAATTAGCTGACAATCAACGGAAAGACCAACAATTTACTGTTGAAGCTTTATCTGCAAGAATAACCATCCACCAAACTACCAAGAAAATGTAATTTACAGACATACTTTTTCATGCAAAAAAATAAAACATAAACTCCAAAATACATCTAATGCAGATGATCATGAGATAAATCTATTATCATTATTCCATTGAAAATGAATAAATGATCAAATACAACCGAGCAATATTTTGGCAAACTACAATATCTAGATTTTAAATCACAATAAATGGTTTTAACTAAAAAAATCATTCGAAACTAACTAAGAAAATAAATATGAGACACAAAGCAAACCGCTATGTTAAACAATAGACAAACTACATTTTATCTCTAGAGGCGCATGCAAATTCCTATAACAATATATATACTATAACTATAACAACATATTAAGTCGATATATGAGAAAAATCGCCAGGTCTAAGACTACGATTACTGTTTGCGCATAGAACATAATACCAGAAGGGCATTTTTACAGGATTTACATTAACTAAATCTCGAAAAATCCGGGATACGCTTACTCTCTGGCGAACAAGAAAGCACACATTGAGGGTACCGGCGAAATAAAATAACCGGGGTAGACCATAACCAGAAGAGGGGACGGCACACCCCTCGAGACCCTCAGCTGGTGCGGAGGAAACAATACTACTGGGCTCCTCTTCAAGAAGTAGCTCCCTTAGGGGGCATTTTTCGATATATGTTCGTTAGAAAAATTAATATTATTTTTGAGAGCTTTTTAGAGATTTCACTGTTTCAGTTTGGCCACCCAATTTCGGGACACCCTGTATCTTCATTAAATGCTGAGGTATTTACATGCTATCAGTGAAACTAAAGAATATCATGTAATTACCTACATCGTAACTGCAATTAGATATTTCGTTATGCTAAGTTGGCGAAATAAGATATCATAACTCACAATGAATATAAGGTAGGATATTGCGTCGATTTGCGTGACGTCAGTGGAAATCACTGCGTGTCGTGATTTTTACTTGTCTGCTAAATGTGATTAAATATAGCTTATTTAGTCTTTGTCACATTTAATTATTTTTTTTAATAAATCTTCGTTATAATTACAAAATGCTTTGCAGCACGTTTTAAACTTGGAAATAAAAAGTAACAAAGATTTATTTCGTAGATTAGCAGAGTTGCTCGATGTGCAATAAAATATTGCGTTTGCTTTTAGCAATACCCCAAAAGTTCGAATTGAAAATTTCTCTCATAATCATCATTTTTGAAATGCTGAGAGCATATTCTAGCGGAGGCAACATTAATTGTCTTTGCACGACAACAAGCATTCTCCCATAGCTTGCTTAAAATACTGTCTTTTGGAAATCTATGAAACTTTATTTCCAGATATTTAGCTAGCTCTCGTATTACTATATGTATTGTGTACTATATGCAACCGTAAACTGCACACCACATTTTTTTATATTTCTCAACCGACACTTAAAAGTAGCAAACAATCACAACACTACCAACTTTCCAACTACCAAACGCAAACTGCTCAGTTTTTTGTCTACAAAATTCGGAAACGCATTCACCTCATGATACAATAAATTAATTGTATGATACAATTAATTCATTGTTTCGTTTGGCTCTACCCGATTTCACGAATAACACTTTGACAACACAGCAAGCTAAAACGCTGAAAATCAGAGATTTCGTAAAGACGTCTTTAGGGTATTTTTCTTCGCAATAAGCCCAAATCAGATCCCAAACGCGATTTTGAAAGCATTGAGCTATACAACACTGCAAACCATATCCTCATATAACTTTCCACTTTTGAACTATTGCTTTTTAAAATCAATAAAAATCTGTCTAGGTTAGATGCATTTTAAATGGGATCAGCTGTTCACTTTACGAAAGTGAGCACCAGTGAAGACATGTGCGCACGAAAATCGAATTTTCGACCGATGAATATCCTACCTTCTTTCATCTATTCTTCTATTCATAATATCATGATCATAACGAGCCCAAATTTTTCGTATGTACCTGTACATTTTTAGAATGTCACGCGTAGGTAAAGTAAAAAAAAGAGTTGAGGTGCAGGGTTCTGTTTAAAAGACGTAAACCCTGAGCCGGAAGCAGACCAATCTGATGACTTGGATTATTGCATATATTTCCAGGGTTTTATTAATTAGAATTGTACTTTCAACACTCAACTTTCTACGTTCTTTTCATTTAAAGTTTAAACAATCGGCATATATTCTTATTCGATAAACCTTGTATACTGTGTATGTAAACAGTCTGTTGGGAAGTAGCCACAGAAGTACAAACCTTTAAAACAAGGCAATTGTCGATGTTTAAATCTGTTTGTTGAACAAACGTTGCCTGTTCATATACAAAATATTAACTAAATGTGTATTCTTTGCCAATGAACAATATTATCAAGCATAGATGAATCATAAGCCAGTAACTGCCTAACCCTCCTTTTCGTGCAGACGTAACAAAAATTACTTTGCAAAATCATACAAACAAAAAATATCACTCTGGTTTCAATTGAAAATGCCACTTTGCCAGCACAAACCCTTACATGAACATTAATAAGAGGATAGAAAATGCAACAAATAAACATCTGTCAAGCTTATAGATTAGGTTATGTGAAATGTACTTACCATTTTCCGTTGCGGGTTTCCCTTGTTCACACTGGTGGCCGGATTTGGGTGAATTAGAACCGTTTTCACTATTTGTTAAAACACTATCACTGTTTTCAGCCATACTAGTTGTATTAAATT